TCGCCAAAGAGCACGCCGCGCAGCACAGTCTCGCCCATGGCCTCGGTCCAGTGGCCCGCGTCGGCCAGGCGCTGACGCCACGTGGCCTGCTGGGCAGCATTCAGGTCGTCCCAGGGGACAGCGGGGCCGTGCTCGGCTTCGTCGTGGGTGACGACCTCGATCGTGTGGTCAGAGTCCTCGCCCCGCATAATCAGGACTTGTTGGCCAGCAGCTGCGTCCTGGGCCTGGCCCTGGGCCTTGGCCTTGGCCTTGGCCTCGTCACTGTCGACGGCCGACAAGAACGCAGCCACAGGGTGCACCTCGGGCATGGCGCCAAAGTCGTCGTGCTTCTCATCGCCGACGGCCGCCACGGGCACGTCGTCGACAATCCACTCACCCTCGGCGGCCTTCAGGGCTGCATTGTGGCGCGTTAGGCGGTCGTTGGCTGCGAATTTCGGCGCCACCGGGTGGAGCCAGTTGATGGGCACGATTTCGCGAGCGCCGAGTAACGGCTGGGAAAAGCCCAAGACCTCGAGAATGGCGTGGGCAATGAGAACGGACAAGGCCAGCACGGCAAAGGTGTACATGATCAGGCCCCTGCCAGAGGGCGCGTACGACTTGAGGGCAACGACGTAGCGCGGCGGGTTGAGGGCGGCGGCCGCAGCAGCGGCGGCGGCGGTGCTTGGCGCCGTGGCAGAGGACGACGGCAGCTTCCGCAGAGGGATCGCATGAACAACGACGGTGTTCTTGACGGATACGCTGGCAAGGCGCAGGTAGTGGATGGCGGCGGTGGTCGAAGCCGTCGAGGGTGCCGTGGGTGTATGGAAATGAGAGAGCGCGATGCTCGTCATGGGCAGCTCGTGCACGTCCTTGAGCGTGCGGAAAGGGTGCAGGTTGGCTAGCAGCTCGGTGCGGCTGCCAGCGCTCTGGTATTCGAGGGTGTAGAGTGAGAGCGAGTTGTCGCCGCCGGCCACAGCGACAACAAACTGGGTGCCGTTCGACTGGCGGATCCCTGGCGCAACGGGCGGCGTCAGGTTGCGCACGGCCAGGCCTGTGGCTTGTGTGATGCTCTTGGGCAGCTTGACGTTGATGGTGATACGGGCCTGCTCGCCAGAGCCGTCGACCGCGGGTGAGATATCCGGCAGGCGCAGGCCCAGCAGAAATGCGCCAGTACGCTTTGGCAGGTTGCACACGGCCAGGATGAAGCGTGGGGTGACGTAGCGGATGGAGCGGAAGGTTGGGCGTGTTGTGCGACCAGTCGCAGCATCTGTGGTGATCTCGTACGCCAAGTAAGGCTCTTCGCTTGCGTCTGCGCCAGTCGTTGCCGAGGCTGCGGTCAAAGCAGTTGAGGCGCCAGGCGATGCGGTGCTACTCCCGCTGCTGTTGCGGCGCTTGCCACCGAGTGCAGCAGCAGCAGCAGCCATGCTGCCCTTGGTGGCCACGTTGAACAGGAACAGCTCATGGTCTGTACAGTACGCCAGCTGGTACTGCTCGGCGTCTGTCTGGATGATGTCGAGGTCGGCCACGTCCTTGGACAAGTCGATCCGGCCGCGCACCTTGGGGAGGACGGTCGCGGCGGCGGTCGACTTGGCCGATGGCGCGGTTGCGGCGGGCGCGGCGGTTGTGACGTCGAACAGAACGATCTGCGGGGACTGGGACAGGCCGGTAGCGCACGCGCCGAGCTGCGGCAGAGTGCTACCCTGGCCGTCGGAGAAGGGCGCGGACACGCGCACGACGCGCTGGTAGGTGTCGGCATCGGGCTCGCTCGAGGTAAAAAAGGGCGCGCGTGCGAGCTCGGAGATCTTGGACGAGGAGGCAGATGGCGTAGACTTTGCGGAGGCAGAGGCCGGCCCGTCGACGCCAAAGACGCGGAAGTGATCGTTGCGGCCCTTGTTCAAGGAGCTGATGCCGGAGTTGACGCCGGCATAGGCAATGGTGGTGCGGCCACGACGGGGGCCAGCGGCAAAGCTGGTGACGCTGTCTTCGTCTTTGGAAAGCTCGATCTCGGAGGTGACGTTGAGCCGGGGCTCCTCGGGCTTGGAGGTGTTGATGAGTGTCTGCAGAGGTGGGTTAGTGGGTGTCGCGTTACAGTGGACCAGGCCCAGGACCAGGCGAACCAGGAAAGCATAAAGAGAATCAGGCGAGTACGAAAAGAAGCTTCAGAAACGTACAATCTTGTTGCCCACGCCTGTCCGACTGGCGCCACCGCCGCCGCCGACAATGAGCCGGCCAGCATCGGTCGGGTCAAAGTCGCAAACGTATAGTGGGTAGTCCAGCGTCGTCTGTGATGTGCGGATATCCATTGTCGCGGCTGTGACGAGGTGGGTGGGAGAGGGAAGAAGAGGGCGATGAAGCGATGAGGCGACTGATGAGGACGAAGACGAACAAGAAAAGAGGAAAAGAACGAGGCAGGCGATGGAGGAAGGACGAAGGAGGAAGGAAGGGAGGGACGGAGGCACTAGAAGAAGGAGGAATTTAGAGTTTGTGGGGAAGCCACAAAGCGAAGGCGACACTCAGTAGTTACAAACGGCAGGAGCGATGATGGAAGTAAGACCAGCTGCAAGCTGTCTGTTCGGTGTTCTTTGGTGGTCGTTCCCCGGTCCGAAAAGGGGGCGCCAAAGTCGCAGTGGGGAGCTAGGCCGGCGGCTTAGCGCATGTGCGAACGCGCCGAATGGGACAATTAGGACAGATTACAATGAACAAGGGCAGAAATGGGCAGAAAAGGGCCGTAAAGAAACAATAATTTGGGGTATGGGGGCGAACTCCCCACTGCGGCCCAGACAATGAAGCTGTGGACACGAGGTTGCCTTTCAATTTCGATTTAGTTTTCACTTTCATTCTCCATCTTATTCTTCACAAGCCTTGACTTTGGACAACGCGCTCTGACGCTGTCGAGTTTCTTGGGTGATCGACGGAGCTGTTGTCAATTTGGCTTCTAGAACAAATGGCTGTCACGTGCAAAATTGGGTGGAGTTGTTCAGATTGGGTCGTAGGTCGTATGCAGCGGCCGCATTCTCGGCGCAAAGTGATGTCACTAGTCCGGGCCAGGCCACACGCCGAGCTAGAGCGTGAATGGGGTCACGGGCCAATGCAGCAGCTCATCTTCAACAGCACCGCGCCGTGAGATGCTAATGAGGAGAAAGCTGGATCCTGTCTGGACAATTTAATTTTTTAAAAAAGAAGAAAAAGCAAAAAGCGATGGGAAACCCAAAAGAGGATGAATATGGAGCGGAGACTTCACGGACTATGCTCCATGGGTGCTCGTTGTGTTTTGTATTGTTCTGGAGATATTGTTCTCACTGTTCAAACACTTCCTTTCGCTCTAACGTTTCCTTAATACTTTTGTTTTATTAATATACAGCGCCTATGTACAATTTCACTAGGTCGTGCGAAGCCGGATCTCCTGTCCGGTTTGGTATCCTCATTTGATGTCATTTTTGATCCTGACCAGGCGGTCGAGTGCGCGGCCATTCTCCAGCGCCCACCCGCCCATGACATCCATCTTTTGGCGGTCGCCGTTGACAATGACCTTGATGAAGCCCTCGCGCGAGAACACGCGGCGGACCTGCTTCCAACCGGTGTTTGCGCCCTGGGCGGCGTGGCGGAACGGCGCCGTCATCAAGTGGTTCATCTCGTACTCGCGGGCCTTGGCCTGGCGCTCTGTCTCGGCCGCGTGCGCCTTGACGCGCTCGGCGCTGGTCACAACAGCACCCGTGGCGGCGACCGCGCCGGCAGCCCCCGTCGGCAGCGCGTCACCGCGCAGACCGTACGACGCAAACCGGAACGGCACCTCCATCGTCTCGGGCAGAATGTACCGCTTGCGTGCCGGCAGAATGGGCAGCACGCGTCCGATCTCGAGCTCCAAAATAACAGGTGGCATGGGACCACCGCCGGCGTCCTTGACAGCACGCGCTGCCGTGGCCGCAGCGCCCTTGCCGGCAATGGTTTCGATGCGTCCCGACGGGATGGCCTGGATGACGCGGACGATGCCGACGCTGCCCGACACGAAGTAGACGCCGCCGGCAATCATGGCACCGCAAATGACGGCAAAGGCGTGCGGCACCCACCACAGCATATTCTCGGGCGGATAAACAAAGATGGTCCAGTAGTTTATGAGAGTGTACGTGATGGTGGCGACGCCGGCCAGCAGGGATGTCATGCGGAACACAAGGTGGGACGGCGCCTCGTAGAGCAATGTACTGACGGACCGGCGGCCGAGCTGCTCGGCGAAACCGTTACCAAGAACAGGGCCAGCAGCGGCGGTGACAGCAGAAGCTGTGGTGGTGGAGCCAGGAACGGCACTCGGGCCGGATCGCGGTAGGGCGGTATTGATAGGCGCGGCTCGTGTTTTGGCCTGTTCCATGGGTGCCTGTGTCGACGGTGTTGGTGGTGATGACCGTGTGGCAGGCTGTGGTTTTGCTGGATATCGTGGTTGGTATTGTGATGGGATATTCTTGGTTGCCTTGCCCATGGGGCCCTTGCCGCGATTTGGCAGCGAGGACGAGAAGAAGCGGACACTTGGGGCAGCCGCAACGACTGGCGGGAGGAGTGCCAATCGTAACCGAACGGCGGACCGAATGTGGGAGCTGCCGGAGCCGGATAGCGAGCCGGGGAGTGTCGCATGTTGTGTTCGGAGCAGGCCTGTCGCAAAGCTGTGGTAGATGAGCCCCGCAAGGCCCCTGGCATGGGACGCCATGGCGAGCCTGCGTTGTGTGCCGAATGGAACAGCAGGAAGGCCAATTGGCGTGGGTAAGAACAGAGGCACTTGTCTTGACGTGGAGGTGAAGCCTGTTGTGAAGTCTGTTTTGGGTGAAGCTACAATAATTTTTTTCTGTACTTCGTACACTATTTTGTGAGTATCGTACAACGTCTACTGGAAGAAAAAGCGGGTCCACTTAACACGCCACGAACGACGCCGCGCACAACTAACAGAATCAATAATCTTGGCCCGCGACGGCATGCATCGGCTCCCGCCAAAACCGTAACCTCTCCACTGCAACGACATAACCGCCGACACCAAAATGTCTCCCCAACTGGCCCCCCTCGAGCTGACACTTGTGGTCGCCGCCACCGCCCGCGATATGGGCATCGGGGCCAACGGCGGCCTGCCTTGGACGGGCCTGCGCAAAGAGATGGCTTACTTTGCGCGTGTCACGAAGCGTGGGGAGGTGAGAGCTACTCTATTGGCCTGCTTATATACATATATACATAGCCATGTGAATGGTTGCTGACAGCACAGGGCAACGCCGTCATTATGGGCCGCAAGACGTGGGAAAGCATCCCGCCCAAGTTCCGGCCTCTGCGCGGCCGCGTCAATGTGGTCATCAGCCGGTCATTTGCGCCTGGCTTGCCACAAGATCCAGCCGGTGGACCCGATGCTGGTCCCGTGGAGGCGTCATCGTTGGAGTTGGCCCTGGAGTACCTGCGGACAAAGACCGCGGCGGCGGCGGCACCAGAAACAGCGAATACGGCGAACAACCGCGTCTTTGTGATTGGCGGAGCACAGATCTACGCTGCCGCGCTGGGCTTGGCGGCGGCGCGGCGGGTGCTGTTGACGCGCGTACTGTCAGATTTTTCCTGTGACACATTCTTCCCCCTCGCGCTGGGAACAAGCAGCTCAACCGAGGCGACTCCCGACACTCCAAAATGGGTGCAGCGGAGCCCGGAAGAGCACTCGGCGTGGATCGGTGAAGAGGTGCCTGAAGGCGTGCAGACAGAGAATGGGACAGAATATGAGTTTCAAATGTGGGAGAGAGTAGATTAGGTTCGGCTCCTGCAGGTATGGTACGCCAACCGCCGTTCTATGCATGCCAAATATATATAAAAAATACAAACCAATGCCAAAGTAACAGGGCATCGCAAACGCCCTTAATGCCAAAAGAAAAAAGTCCTGCCCCGTCGCCGCGTCCGCCAGATCTGATCATCGTATCCATAATTGTCCTTAGTGTCCCAGCTGAGCGTAATCATTCCAGCGTCCTTTTATGCGACCTCGTTTGTCTATATGATTTTTTTTGTTTTGATTAAAACATAATGTACACGAATGTGGTGGTGTTGAGAAGTGAGATCACGCTGCCTCCTTGCTTCTTATGCCGAGGCAACTACCTTGGCGCTGCCGTCTGTCGACGTTTCCTCCTTGCGCGCTGCCTGCTGCATCAACAGGCCCAGCTCCTTGGTCGCCGGCTCGTCCACCGCCGCCAGGTCCATCGTCGGCGGCGCCCACCCAAATATGCCCGCGCCTGCGTGTAGGATCAGGCCCTCGTCTTGCATGCGGTCCAGCTGTGCCAAGCTACGGCGCATCCACGCAACGACAGCCGCCAGGTGCCGAAGATCGACGTCCGGGTGTGCCTTGAATAGGTTGCGCCAGACGGCGGCGGCCAGGACGGCATCGCCGCGCACGACTCCCTCGTCGTAGGCGACAATGACGCCGCGCCAGGCCATGAACAGATCCTGGAGGTGGCGCTGGCGCAGGCCGCGTGAGGTAATGTGGTGGAGGCGATCCATCTTATCCTCGGCCTCCTGGAAGAAGTGGTCCGACAGCATGGACTGCCACAGCTGATGGGCCTCCTTGTCAAAGCAGCGGAGGCGGGTAATAACCAGGTACATGTGCAGCATTGTAACCTGCGACCAAGTACTAAAGGAGGGGAGAAGGTTGAATTCTAAAAAGGTTAGCGTTTGCGTTTGTTGAGCTATTGTGGGCATGCGTAGGAACTCACCATCGTGCCATACGCCACCACCAACACCAAGTTCCTCGCCGTCTTCCGTCGTAGGCACCTGGTCGTTGCGCCGCGTCTCCTCCGAGATGTCGTACGCCGCTGGTCGTGTGCATTTTTGGTAGATGGCCCGCGTCACGCCAAACGCGCCGTACGGCTCAGCTGTCCGACTAATTGCACTCCGGGCCATATCGCCCAGCCGCCCTGCTATGCTAGCGCTGGTTGAGGTCGTGTGGAAGTTGCGGGCCGGAGCAGAGACGGAGCTTGAACGCCTTGGCCGCGGCGTCCGTGCAGGTCTTGGTTGTTGACTTTGGATCGGCGAGTTCTGCAACTCCTGTGCCCACACAGCCTGACTCAGGCCCCGTGTTTGCCGTGTCGCCGGCCGTGCGCACCGTGTAATGGCCGCACCGGCGCCGGCGCATGGCCGGCAGCTTGACCGTACCATGCCGTGATTTATGGTGTGGTGGGAGGAGGTGGACGTGCGGAGGGCCCGTGGGAACGAGATCGAGACTCGAGAAACACAGCAGGAATTGAGGTGGCTCCGGTGAGTTCGGCAGTCCCCGGGAGTCGTACGTTGTCGAAGCAAGGTCGATTCACGGACGTCAGGACTTGACGAGGTGGTACGGTCCTGCGAAAAACCGCAGAAAATATCAAAAATATGGAGCATCCAAAAATTTGGGGCCGACCAATCCACGCCAAACTTGCATCTGATATCACATCACGTGACACGCGTCAACATGCCGCCATCTCCATTTGTCCACGAGACAATGGTTCATGGAGGGGAAGGAGCAACCGGCTTTCGGTTAGACAGGAACGGTAATTACGATGCTTTGCCTCTTCCATCTTCTCTTGTTTCTTTTTTTTTTTTTTTTTGGAAAATGCAACTAACATCTCACGACAACTGCCTCGTCCATCTTACTCAACGAAACTTGGCTCACTGCCATTGCAACTGTCCCCCCTGTTCCCCAGTGGACCCCACACGCAGACAACGGAATTGCTCAACTGCAACGCGACAGCCACGCTTCCGCTCGCAATCGTTAGCGTCACGGAGCGACCAACAGCCATAAGATATCCGAAAACACGCCGAGCAACGACACTCTCCTGGAAAAGCATCACCCGTCGGTGCACTGCGCGATTTGGCTTACCATCTCGAATCTCGATTCAAATCTCGATTCACAGACACGACTGCCTGCCATTATAGAGCCGTATCGATCTCGAGCGGTCCCCTAAACGATGACGGCGTGTTGAGCGTTATCGCATTGTGTCGAACAGTGCTTTTGATCGACAACATCCATTCGCTTCCCGTCGTCCTTTCCTCGACTCGTCTCCGAATTCGTCGCTACATTATATCTTGTCCATTACGTCGTGACATTGTCCCCCTCGTCTTCCGGCTATGGCGGAGGACCTCGTGCCTTCGGCCGGCATGCCGTTTGATAATGCTAGCGCATGGCACAACTTCACCGTCTGGACCGCTCAGCACTTGGCCTTCCTCAACATGACCCGCATCACACCTTCGTTTGACGATCTTGTTTGGGCCGGTCCTCGTATGGTCAAGAAGCTTGGTCGGCTCGGCTCCTATATCCCCTTTCCCGACGGTATCGATGGCTTTGCTGGATTTGGCGGGATTGGCGGAATCGGCCAACGCGTGATTCCGGGAGCGACCGACGCAGCGGGCAACATCCTTCATGGTGCCACCGGTGTGCCCGCGTCGGACGCTTTTGCCACGGCGGCGGCCGCAGCCGGTGCTGCTGCCGGTGCTACAGCTGCGGCCGAGCAGGACTTTGCAGCGACGCTGGCTGCTTCCGCCTCGCGGTTCTCACTCGAGAGCGCTCGGGGCCTCGGTAGTCTCTTTAGCTATGCTACGAGCAAGTGGGCGCTCTGCTGCATCGCCACGGCTGTTATCCTTAATCGGACCTACATCTTTGCGGCAACGCGCCGCCGCATCCGCCTACGCTGGCCCATCCGCCTGTTGCTGCGTAGCCTGCCCATTGCGCTGTTCCTCGTCCAGGGCCACTTACTGCTGCAGTCCATCCAGTGCCAGACGTCGCCCGACTTTGCCGAGCTACGCTGGAACAACGCCTCTAAGCAGTCTGATCTCATGTTCTCCGAGGCGAGCGTCTTTTTGCACGGCCTTAGTTCGACGTTACTGCTCAACCCCACCGACGCCGACTCCTGCCGTGCTATCCGCATGGTTCCGGTGGACCGTTATGCGCCCACATCCAACCTGCGCGGCTCTCTGTCGCTGCTGTGGCCGCTCTTTATCACCTTTTGCCTGAGCAGCTTTGTCGAGACGCTATCCTGCGCCATCCAGGGACGCCCCGTGGCTGCCGAGACCGGCATGACTGTCTTTGAGCACTCGCTGGCCTTTGCCGAGGCCGATGCTGCTATTAGCAACCAACTCGGCTGGGGCACCTTTGCCGCAGCAACTGGGTCATCTGCATCGGCTTCCGCGTCCTCTAACAAGTCGGCCACCTTGGCCGCCGTTCTTGCGGCAGCAACCCAGGCTGCTGTTGGTGGTAGCAACTCGGTAGGGGGAACGGCGATCGCTATGTCACGCTCCGCCATCCTCAGCCGCGTAAATACTCCACCCGAAGTGCTGCTCCTTGCGTTCCTGTCCGCTATGAGCCACGTTACAAGCCATATACTTGGTGTGCTTAACCTACAGGCCAAGTTCCGTTTAATCAGCACCGGCTTCTGGGCTCTGTGCTTCATGTCTAGTATCGTCTGGAGCGCTCTCAACTTTTCCCTGGATGACCCGGCTGCCCAGAGCCTGCTGCGCTTCCCGACCGTCTCTATTGTAGGCTTCATCCCGCACATGCTTGTCCTCGCCGGTATTATCATCTGCTTCTTTATCTACGGCATTGCCCTGTTGCTATGCGCCGTGTCACAGGAGCCCGACATCTTCTTTGGTAGCGGTGCTGAGCGTGTGACGTTCCGCGAGCGCATTGCCCAGGCCCACTCCAACATGCAGGCCAACTTGCCTATGGGCAACGTCCGCATCAGCATGGAGATGGACTTTTACACGGCGCTTTTGCGAGCCGGCTTTGACGCCATCACGATGGCAAGCGAGGCCGTATACCTCAATGAGGACCGCCGCGTCAGCTTGCGCTCGCACACATGGTTGGAAGACGAGCGCTACAATGAGCTTCAGGAGTTGCGGTCGCGCTGGCTTGGTTCGGATTTGCCGGGATCCCGCTTCGATGCCTTGGGGGCCACTGGCCTGGTGCCAATTTCGGGAAACAAGAGTGGCCCGTACTCGACAGGCTACTCGCGCGAGCGGGCCATCCAGAAGAACAGCGCCGCGGGCAAGCAAGGCGAGCGCATCCGGCCCATCCGCACTGGTATTGGCGCGTCAGAGCGGAGCGGCCGGTGGCTGATGGCCGTCGAATACTTGGCCCATGTGGGCAAGCTTATGATGACGTTCACAGCTGTGTACATGCACCGGCTGTTGTCCTGGGCCGGTATCCGCAGCCAGCCACGCTGGCTCCAGCGGCTCGTACAGCGCCGAAAGGCTGGCCGCTCGGCGGGCAACCGGGACGATTTCCTGGGTGGTGGCGACGGTCAGGCCTCATCCGACGAGGACCATTCTAGTGAGTGGTTTGTGGCCAAGACGGGAAGCCTGCCAATTCAGCGCCGTGGTCAGATTGACGTTGAGCACGAGGTGCGTCGGCGGTTTGCTGCGTCACAGGATCTGTCCAAGTCCTCGCGCCAGGAGGAGCGCGAGATCGACAACAAGCTGTATCTTTGGTGGCTCAAGGGCGGCTGGTGGGGTGAGGTGGACACCAGCGGTGACTACGAGCCAAGCATTGCGGCCGATGACGATGACGCGACGAGCGTTATTTCCATTTTCGACATGGAAGGTAGCGAGTCGGAGTGGGAGGACGACGAGACCGACGGCGACAATGCAAACGTGCACAGAAGTGACGCGGCTGGCAGCTACACTTACGAATATGATGGTAGCAACAGTGACATCGACAACGACGGTCAGCGCACGCCGACACAGCAGTCCCCTTGGATCACGCGCGAGAGCACACCGATGCACGACGTCTCCATGGAGGTACCGGAGCTGGCCCGCCTCCTCGACCCGCAGAGCCCCGAAGAGCGGGCCGAGGCGCAGGCTCTTGCCGCTCATCTCAACAGTGACGGAATTCTGACGCGGTCTGCATTTGCACGCTTCCGACAGCGCCAGCGTGCCGAGCTGCTTGCCACGTCGCGGTATGGCATTGGTGCCAGCCGGCTGGTCAGCAGCTTCCGGCCCGGTGCTCGCATGACACCCGATGAAGAGGCCCAGCTGCTGGAACAGATCCTGTTGTCGCGTCGTGCGGCGATGCGTCCCCTCGCACCACTGAGCGACAACCGTGGCGTGGACGATGATGGCGACATGACTCTCAGAGGTGGTGGAGGAGAAGGAGAAGGAGGCGAGTCATCATGGGCCAACGGTGCGGCCGGGATGGGCTCTGATGGGCCTCAATGCGTTGTCTGCCAGAGCTCACCCCGCACGATTATTGTGTGGCCGTGCCGGTGCCTGAGCCTGTGCGACGACTGCCGCGTGTCGCTGGCCATGAACAACTTTGACAAGTGCGTGTGCTGCCGGCGGGATGTCGTCAGCTTCAGTCGCATCTTTGTACCTTGACCGTTATTGTCAACGCACCTTGAAAGCTGGTTTTTTTTTATATTGTACAATTGCCTTCTGTTACTTTCCATAGCGTCTTTCTTGCCGACTTGTTATACGATCAGTCTTTCATTGTACATTTCCTCTTGGCCATGGGTCTATACAAATCAATTGTCACGTCTTCCCATACGATATTTTCTCAAAACTCGATGCAACAGACGAGACTGACAGCTTTCCTCGCTATGCTTCGTATGCATGGTCCGTGTGTAGGATAATTAACAGAAAATAGGAAGGGGTATCATTTGTATCTATAAACATAAAACATATCTTGGCCAGTCTCGGTCATGATCCGTCAGATGGCCGCCCACTCGAGCGTAAACGTCCGCACAACGGCGCCAACGCCGTCGCCTGCAGAATTTCCCTCGGTAGGCTTCGCACTGCCAATCAGCAATCCCTTCTTGACACCTGTCGCCAAGCGGCCAGTGCCGACAACATCCAGGAGCTTGATGGGCTCGTCCCATCCGTAGCTGTTCGCCACAAAGTGGGCATGGTACCGGAACGGGTCACCAGGATAGACACTGAGTGCGCCACCAAAGCGCAGACCAGGTGTCGTGAAGTAGCCCCGATCCGCAAGGTGGGCACGCAAAGCGGCCGACGCGAAGGAAGACGTTGAGGCGAGCAATGTGCTCCGTGGCGGGATCAAGGCGGCAGTACCGTCGTCTTCGTCCTCTTCCCTATCCGCAAGGAGGGCAGCCGAAGTAGTCGGTGTGATCCGCACGAGAGGCTTGCTACTTGCAGCAGAATTGTCTGTTTTCTTGTCATCCTTCTCTTTA